TTGGAAGGCTGAGGCAGGAGAATTGCTTGAACCTGGGAGGTGGGGGTTGCAGTGAGTTGAGATCACGCCACTGCACTCTAGCCTGAGTGACAGAGTAAGCCTCCATCTCAAAAAAAAAAAAAAAATGGTGGGGGAATGAGTTTGTGGCACGCATCTCCCCCAAATCTACATGAACTCTATCCCGTACATCCCACAGTTCCCATCTCCTCTTATTGTTCAATCCCGGAAGGGAAGGAGAATGAGACTGCGTAAAGGACATCTGGGCCTTTTCCTGCCACCATTAGCCACCCTCCCTCCCACAAGGCGGATAAACAAAGCGAGTCTGAAGGCCACCATGGCTCCCCCAGCTCCCCCCTCCCTATGCAGATCCTAATTCCTTTGTGTTTCCCACACCTCCCTCCGTGCCCCATCATCTCGCCAATGACGTAGGAGAATAAGAGGTTCCAGCCAGCAATGAAAACCACCAGTTGACCCACTGTGACGTAAGTGTAGAGCTAGGCGGAACCGGAGCATGGCACCCGGGCCCCAAACTCCGCATAGCAGAGTCCAGACAACATAGAAGTCAGGGCCACCGCCAAGAAGCAGATGACGATGGCCGGTCCAGCTTTCTCTTTGGCCACTTCTCCAGCTAGGACATACATGCCCGCTCCCAGGGTGCTGCCCACACCCGAGGCCACCAGATCCAGGGTCTTCAGACAACGAGACAAGCGATGCTCAGAGACCCCCTGGCCCAGCTGCAGGGGCCGGCTGCGCATCAGCTTCCCACCAAATTGGCGAATATTCTGCCAGACCATCTGAGATGGAGTTGAGGAGGGCGCTAAGATCTGCAGAGCACACAAGACAGAAGGCCACTCAGACGGAAAGCCGCGAAGAGTATTTGTACCACTTTGGCCCTGGGAATCAGGTTTAGAACCAGCTCCCCTGAACAGTGCAGTTCTGGGAAGAGCAGGTAGTGAAAAACATTCTGGGCAAATCATCCATCTCTGAACCTCGCGGCCTTCAAATGTAGACAGGAACTTTAATACTTTTCAAAGTTACATGGCTGGGCGGGGTGGCTCACGCCTGTAAATCCCAGCACTTTGGGAGCCCGAAGTGGGAGGATTGCTTGAGCCAAGGAGTTCGACACCAGCCTGGGCAACATAGTGAGACCCCCATCTCAAGGAAAAAAAAAACTAAAAGTTACTGGAAGGGTTTCTTCTTTAAAGAGATGCAAACAAAAGCTTCCAGTATGGTGCCGGCACACAAGACATGAGCTGTGTAATTGATATAATTGAAGTTAATTGGCCGGGCGCAGTAGCTCACGCCTGTAATCTCAGCACTTTGGGAGGCTGAGGCGAGTGGATCACTTGAGGTTAGGAGTTTGAGAACAGCCTGACCAACATGGTGAAACTCCGTCTCTACTAAAAATACAAAAATTAGCCAGGCGCAGTGACACACGACTGTAATTCCAGCTACTCAGGAGGCTGAGACAGGAGAATTGCTTGAACCCAGGAGGCGGAGGTTGTGCTGAGCCGAGACCATGCCACCGCACTTCAGCCTGGGTGACAGAGTGAGATTCCGCCTCAAAAAAAGAAAAAAGAAAAAAAGAGAGGAGACAAGGTGAGGGAAGGGAAGGGGAGAAAGAGAGTGAGCGAGAGAGAGAAAGAGAGAAAGAGAGAAAGGAAAGAAAGAAAGAAAGAAAGAAAGAGAGAGAGAGAGAAAGAAAGAAAGAAAGAAAGAAAGAAAGAAAGAAAGAAAGAAAGAAAAAGAAAGAGAAAGAGAAAGAGAGAGAAAAGGAAAGGAAGAAAGAAAGAAAAGCAAGTCACAAGAAGACAAATACTATATGATTCTACTTGCAAGAGGAATCTGGAGTAGTGAAACTCAGAGACACAAAGCTGGCTACCAAGGGCTGGCGGAGAGGGATGGAACAGAGAGATGTTTAATGGACATAGTTTTCAGTTTTGCAACATGAAAAACTTCTGGATTTTGCTGCAAACTTAAAACTGCTCTGAAAACAATAGTTGCAGACTGGGTGCAGCGACTCATGCCAGTAATCCCAGCACTGTGGGAGGCTGAGGTGGGTGGATCGCTTGAGATCAGGAGTTTGATACCAGCCTGAGCAACGTAGTGAGATCCTGTCTCTACAAAAATAAGTAATTTTTTAAATTAGCCGGGTGTGGTGGTGCATGCCTGTAGTTCCAGCGACTGGGGAGGCTGAGGCAAGAGGATTTCTTGAACCAAGGGGGTGGAGGCCGCATTGGGTAGTGATAGCACCACTGCATTCCAGCATAGGCAGTAGGGCAAGGCCTTCTCTCAAAAAATAAACGAACAAAGAAAATACAAAGTCAAAATGGCTAAGCCAGGCACAGTGATGACCCTGTACTCCCAGCTATTCAGGAGCCTGAGGTGGGAGGATGGATAGGGCCCAGGAGTTTGTGGTCAGCTTAGGCAAGACCTTATCTCAAATAAATAAATAAATAAATAAATAAATAAATAAATAAAATAAAATAAAAAATAAAGAAAAAATGGAAAAGGTGGTAAATTTTTTTTTTTTTAGACGGAGTCTCCTCTGTTGCCCAGGCCGGAGTGCAGTAGCACAGTCTCGGGTCACTGCAACCTCCGCGTCCTAGGTTCAAGCAACTCTCCTGCCTCCCGGTTATTTTTATATTATGTGTTTTCTACCACAATTTTTTAAATGCTGCCGATAATACAGCCGGCCTCAGAGAATTTCTGGGTGGTCGTACAGAAATCACCGATGGAAGGCTGAAATCACTCTCGCATCCCGCAGAGCCCCTGCGTAAGGCTGAACCCAGGAAACGGGTCTCAAGTCTCTGGACACGCATGCAAGCCCAGCGCAATCCCTGCTCATATCCACAGCTCCAAGCTCCTTGGATTCTCATCTGAAAAGTGGGTGTCTCCGCAGTCCGCCCAGGGGGCCAGGCTGATGCAACAGCGCGCGCGCATTGCAGAGGCCTCCTTCCGGGACCCCGAACCGTACGGCCCGCGGTCGACAGAGGAGGGGGACACCCAAGACTTTTACCAGACTACTTGCGACGACCGAGGAGCCCTGGATCCGAGGCAACGAGGCTCACTGCAAGCAGACGTGAGCTGGAGCTGCGGGATCTTTAAAATGGCAGCGGGAAACGCTGAGACCCTATGAAGTCCTGCGCCGGCAGGGTGGGACTGACAGGGCCGGCCGGGTGGGCGTATCTGTAGTGATGCAATCAGGCGTTACTTTTTTTTTTTTTTTTTTT